TGTGCATTTTCTCATTTCGTTTGTGTCGTATAGATCATGCCAAAGAGAAAGACGTGATAGCCTTAACATACCTGAGTCGATTCTCTTGACACTCCTCTAACACACGTTAATTGCGAAAAAACAGGGAACAAGTTGTATGAAAAACTCGTTGCTTATGCAAAGACTATCTTGGCCGAAACCTCTCCCTAAGTAACTATGAAATGAGAAGCTTGAATTAAGCTCTTAGAAAATGACGTTAAAATGTATGGAAAGTTTTGTTGAAATTTGAAGAGATTATGATTGTTATTATTAACAGAAACTTTAAGAGAAATGACGTTAAAATGTATGGAAAGTTTTGTTGAAATTTGAAGAGATTATGATTGTTATTATTAACAGAAACTTTAAGAGAAATGACGTTAAAATGTATGGAAAGTTTTGTTGAAATTTGAAGAGATTATGATTGTTATTATTAACAGAAACTTTAAGAGAAATGACGTTAAAATGTATGGAAAGTTTTGTTGAAATTTGAAGAGATTATGATTGTTATTATTAACAGAAACTTTAAGAGAAATGACGTTAAAATGTATGGATTGTTATTCTTAAGTGTCCCCACATAATTAAGCTTGGTGTCACACTTCTTTCTCAAAGTGTGACACCTTGCAATCTTTAATACTTAGTCATTTAAATGGAAGGAGTGATTGCCACATTGGGGGAGGGGTTAAATCTTATCCCACTCTTTAATGAATTGTCCAATAATTAATCAATTACCCACATAATCTTCATTAACTTGCTAATTCCCATGTTAACCAATAATTCACATAATTAAGAAATATCTCAAATTACTTAAAATATTACTCACTTTTAATATACTTTATGTATCCTACTATCGTGGTCATGGGGTACCTTTTATGGCATTAGTCCATAAATGTCGGGTATTGAAGCTCGGACCGTATTTTATCCAAATCAACAACCTTCAACGAAACTTATTTTCTTTGATTCGTTTCCCCTTTATCCTTCACGGCACTTACTTATCGCTTGTTATAAATAGCATAAATACTTATAACCTCAATATAATTTCATCCCCGAGTCTACGTCGATTAACTTATGACGAAACTTTTACGTACGAAAATATGAGATGTAAGAACCTGCATGAAAACACCCTTCGTGCCATGAACACATGATAATTTAAAAACATGATAATGTAAATAAAATGGCACGGCATCACCCTTCGTGCTTTTACTCTCATCCTCACATAATAATGTTAATAAAATAGCACGGAATCACCCTTTTTGCTTTTACTCTCATCCTCACATAATAATGTTAATAAAATAGCACGGAATCACCCTTTTTGCTTTTACTCTCATCCTCACATGATAATGTAAATGAAATGGCATGGCATCACCCTTCGTGCTTTTACTCTCATCCTCACATGATAATTTAAATGAAAACATGATAATGTAAATGAAATGGCATGGCATCACCCTTCGTGCTTTTACTCTCATCCTCACATGATAATTTAAATGAAAACATGATAATGTAAATGAAATGGTACGGTATCACCCTTCGTGCTTTTATTCTCATCCTCACATGATGATATAAATGAAATGGTACGGCATCACCCTTTGTGCTTTACACTCTTCCTCACCAAGCGCATGTATATCAATAACAAGCAAGGTAGGAAGCATGAATAACATCAAGGAGAGTGATTAAGTGAATATTCCAAATGAACATCAATAACAGCTTTCAAGCCAATACCAATTCAATAAACCTCAAGAACCTTATTATTCAAGTATTCCAACAAATCTCAAAATTGATTTTCAAATCAAGTATAAAATCCAATATCTCAGGAATAACGATCGTAGCGATGTATTAGTGATTAAGCATAGTGCTGACCAAATTTAATACATTAATAGTTTCACACAAATTCGTCAAATTTTAATCAAGTTATAATAAGCTAAATCTTGGTTTCTAGCATTTAATTTCATATTCTTAGTAATCTAGAAGTCAAGTAAGACATGAAGCAAGAATGTCACATAATTTTACAAGGTACAACTAATCGTATAATTTACCCCCGAGCATGATTAACCTTGACACATGCATATATATATTTGTCACCTCATATATGCATCACCCCCACATATAGCAAACAATGTCAATTAGTAGGATAGATTCCCCCAACAAAATTAGGCAAGACACTTACCCCAAACAAGCCGAATAGATACACTAGAAGCGCCATCCCACTCAAATTAAACTCTGAACGGCTCGAAAGTAGCCAAAAGCAACTCAAATTCATCAAATAATTCCATAGGAAGCAAACCCAATCGATAAAAGTCTAATCTTTACACATTTACTCAAAGTCAACCAAAAAGTCAAACCTGGGCTCGCACCTCAGAACCCGACAAAACTCACAAAATCTGATAACTCATTCAATTACGAGTCCAACTATACTTATTTTACTCAATTCCGACTTCGAATTGATGTTCAAAACTCAAAAATTCACTTTAGGAAAGTTTAGACAAAAAATTCCAATTTTTCTTTTGAAATCATCAATCAAATGCCAAAAACGTATATGGAATCGCGGAATATAATCAAAACCGAGTAGAAAATAGTTACCCTAATCCATGTGATAAAATTCGCCTCCAAAATAGCCTAAATCCGAGCTCCATAACTCAAAATATGATAAAATGACTCAAGGTCCGAAACTAGAGTACTTATAACCACTGAACAGAAATACACATCGTGATCGCGGGAATCCCTTCGCGATCACGATCGCGAAGCACACACGCGACTGCCACCAGATTACACTTCACGTTCACGGCGTATTCCTCGTGAACGAGACTCACAGCTGACTTAGAACTTCGCGAACGCGTCTCCCACTACGCGAACACGATGAAGAAGGCCTCGAGCTCCAACTCCCAGTTCAAACTACACGTTCGCGATCCAACAATCGCGAACGCGGAGAAGACTTTCCCCAACTCTATGCGAATGCGTTCGACCTGTCGCGAACGCGATAAAGAAAATCCCCCAATTCCATAAATCACTACGCGATCGCGGCCATTTCTTCGCGATCGCGAAGAACAACAGAGACATCAGCAAACAACAGAAACCAACAACTCCAAGCCAATCCGAAATGATCTGAAACTATTCCGGCTCGGGACCCCGTCCGAACATATCAACAAGTTTCAAAATATAATACGGACCTACTCGGGGACTCAAATCACATATAACAATATCAAAATCATGAATCGCACCTCAAATCGAACTAAATAAACTTTTGAACTTTCAACTTCCTAAACTCATGCCGAACAATATCAAATCAACTCGGAATGGCCTTAAATTTTGCACACAAGTTCCAAATGACATAACGAACCTATTCCAACTCCCAGAATCAAAATCCAAATCCGATATCATCAAAGTCAACTTGCGGTCAAACTTATGAACATTCTAAAACTCCAAATTGCTAACTTTCGTCAATTAACGTCAAAACCTTCAAGAAACATCCAAATGCAAATCCGGGCATACGCCCAAGTCCAAAATCACCACCCGGACCTAAAGGAACCATCAAAACTCCGATCTGGGGTCAAATATGCCAAAGTCAAACTTGGTCAACTCTTCCAACTCAAAGTTTCTAACATGAGAATCCTTCTTCTGAACCGATCCCGAATCACCTGAAAATCAAAACCAACGATTCACACAAGTCATAATACGTCATATGAAGGTATTCAAGACTTCAAAAAGCTGAATGGAATGCAAATGCTCAAAACGACTGGTCGGGTCGTTACAATATTATGCTAGAACTTTCTGTGTTTAAGCAAAATAGTGGCTATTTTTTAATGACTTTGCAAACGCTGTCTATTTTTCAATTACCAGTTCAAAAATTGACTAGCCCGTGCTATTTTCATAAAAAGGTGTGATGACTAGTTTTTGGCTGCTTATTCATATTCATCCACCTTTTGAAACATAATTGAGAAAAAGTCACTTTTTATGCCAAAATTAAATTTGGACAAAAAAATACACCTAGCTAAGAAGTTCTAGTATAGTGTGCATGAGTTTAAAGTTCTAGTATAGCGTGCCTGAGTTTAAAGTTATAGTATACCTAAAACACAAAAGTTAGTATAGTGTGCCTGAGTTTAAAGTTTTTATAAGTGTAATCCAAGCATATTGTGCTAGAATTCGTAAAGAGTTTCAAATGTGCCTAAAAATTCATGGAGTTGGAATCTGTATCAATTATAATTTTCATTGTACATTTCAAACTAGGTTGATCCCATGAAATTACTCATTATGGTTATCTTTGTATATTTGGAACTATGGTTGTAGGTACCAATCAAGATTTTTTTTGTTGAGTTCGAAATGGTGCAAAATGGCACTCCTTAAAATTCTTAAAATGGTGCAAGTGGAAATCCAGAAATACTTCATGATACTATCCTGAAATTCAAGGAGACGGTTCAAACTCAGTACACTTTCCATGGAGTTTGAACTACATATTTCAAACTCCAAGAACTTTTTTCAATTCCTGCACACTTTGCTAGTTTGACATGTAAAGTTTTGAATTCATCATTATTTTGCTGGAGTTTTTTCGTGTTTTAGTTAAGAATGTTTTATCCAAATTTTATTTATGCGTTAAAAAGCAGTTAAGCTTGACTATTTGCCAATTTTTCCCAAATTTGTGATGAGATGATTAGTCTGGATAAAGGGAACCCCTTCTCCTCGATGGGTTTGCAGCAAGGGTGGTCAAACAAAATTAAAAATTCGTATCAAATCGACAATTCAAATCAAATCGAAAAAATAATTTCATTAGCAGTCTGGTTTAATTTAGGTTGGTATTAAAAAAATCAATCATAATCAATTTGGTTTGATATTAACTTAAGAAGTCAAAGTAAAATCAAACTAACCTGATTTAAAGATCAAATTTGTGTTAACTGGGTGGGAAGTGATGGCATCTAATTCAAAAATCATGAAAGAAGCACTNTATATATAATTGTGGGCCTTACAACTGTTACGGCACTCTCAATTAGCAGCAATTGAATTTTCTAGGCTCTAGGTTTCTTTGCAATTTAAACCTAAAATTACAGAGCCCAAACGCTTCACATACCAACTACTTCTTCCCGCACCGTTTCTTTTCATCAAATAAACCTTCTTTTCTCTCTCTTCCGCATAAGTTATCTCTCTTTCAAAAAACTATCAATTACTCTGTGATCTTTCAACTCCATTTTTGCTACTAAATTTCCCTTAGACCTCTAACTTTGTTAGTTAATTTCTAAAACCTCAACTACATCTACCTTCTTTGTACTATTTCTTATTTGGGGTAAACGAAAAAAACGTTTGCTCACACTGCTATTCTCTCTGTTCTTCCCTCACCATATGCTAATTTCGACGCCAATGAAGACTTCCGAAGAATACCATCCTCCGCCCACAGTTCCAGGAAAAATTGGTATTCACTCCATAATTGCCGGTCTGTAATCCTTTCAAAGTTAATATTTCTCATTTACGCCATATTCTTATATATTTTACTCTTACTAGCTTGTATGACCCCTAATCTAATTGTATAGGTGTGGACAAACAAGGATGCCAAAAACTGTCAAAAGATTGAGGTACAGTCCAAACCTTCTTCTCTATTATGCTTTTTCCAACAATTCAAAACTTATGTTGTCAATATTCTTGGATAATATAATTTTTTTATCCTGATCAATAACTAAGGATGTGAAGATTCTAAAACACTTTTAAAAAATTCAAAGATTCTTCACTACTATAATTTTTTCACAATGGATATTAACTGTGTCCTGATATGGAGTAAAAGAATGTTTTGAGTATTACTGATAATTTCTTTTCGAGCAAAGTTCGAGAACAATGTCTTCAAATATTCTAGAATACTATAATTTTTTTCTTAATCAATAGCTAAGGAGCTAAAGATTCTAAATAACTTGCAAAAATACAAACATTCAATGCTACTATGGTTTTATCACAATTCATAATTAAATCTGTAAATATTCTTAAATACTATAATATTTACCTATTAAATAATTATTTACTTCTACTTAGTCTCTCCCTGATATGGAGCACAACAATGATGTAGTGATGTCTTTTATTCCTTCCAAAGTTCGACAACAATATCTTTAAATGTCGATTATATATAGATTCTTGGTAGATTAGTATTATTATATTTGTTCTATTCAACTCTTTTGTGTCTTGGTAGATTAGTGTTATTAAATATAGACTGGTTATATTAGCACTAATATATTTAGCACTATAGATTATTCTAAATTTCTCATATCTTGCCTTTTCGCCGTCTGAAGACATTGGCTCGATGACATGGCATGTCTTACAATTCAGAAAATCCATTTTCCTAAATTCACAGATTTTTGCCTTTCTTTCACCTTTAAATATGTCTTTTTCCTCTTTTTCCTTTAAACGACACGCCTCTTTCTCTTCCTTCAAAACAGTCGCCTCTTTCTCCTCCTTCAAAACAATTCTACTACTCTATAGAATTATTCACCGTCTCGCTGAAACAAGAGCAACGTTCCATTGATCCCCGAATCCACGGCTGATGTCCATTTTTCAATTAACTTCTTATAAACGATGCCTCCGCATGCAAATCTCACTCCCGATTAGGGGTGCTTATCGGACGGATAATTACGCTTAATGGTTCGGCTTATCGGTTATCGGATTATAAATATAATAATCCGCTAGCCATCCAATAAGACAACGAGCAGATTGGTATCGGATTAACGATTGTCGGGCGATTTATCGGCTAAACCAAATAGAATTTTTTTTATCATAGCATCTTGCTGCTCTAGCTTCACAACTCGATCACATGTTGTTCTAATGTATATTCGAGGAACTTTCTCTGCACATGACAATAAATCCCACAGTATATTATGTACATGTTGGATATGAGACTCTCAATCACGCACCCAAATGAAGCAGCAGCCTTAATTATCAAGACAAATAATAAGAATGGAGCAGAGAAGAAAGGACTGTGATCACTTCCCATTGGCCATTTTTTTATCATAGCATCTTGCTGCACTTTCTCTGTTTTAATGTGTATGCTGTTCTCATATCCAACATGTACATAGTATACTGTGGGATCTATTACTCTGGAACAAATTTTTTGAAGACTCAATGAAGGTAAAAGTGTAAATATAAAAACTCTTAACGGGTTAACGGTTTATCCGATAGGAAATTGAGTAATCCGCCCCCAAACCGTTAAGCCGTTAATTATAAAATCTCAATCCGTTCACTATCCATTGCCCCGATAACCCGAAACCAATAAGCCAATAAACCATCGGTTCGGTTAACGGTTACGGTTCGATTTTGAACAGCCCTGCTCCCGATTCATCCTAAGAACCAATTCTAAAAAAATAGTATCAACAACGATTCTAACTCAAATGTGTCTCTTAAACTGGTTTTGGAGGAGGTATTCGCTCTGCTCAGAAATGGTCGATCTCCCCACCACCACAATTTATGCCACTGAAGCTAGCTAACAAGTGCCCATGGTTTATATTTTCTTTCCCAAATGCTAAATATCTTTCACTAATGATGTTATTTACCGAGTATGTGGCATGATTGTTGTAATTTCAATGTTATGTTTTTTAGATGATAAACCATTATAGAAATGGTGTCTCTGACTGAGAATCTCATAGGATTTCAAATGCTATTGGGATCAAGAGAAATGGTCAATGTCTCTTGGAGCACTATACTGGGAATCTTGATTCGCGTGATTCGAGTAAGGAAATTAAACGGTACCAATTCTGGAAAATCATTCTTCTGAGAGTTTACTTTTCTTTGATTGAAGCAGCGGGGTTACAGGTGATCCTTTTAATGTTACTGTTGTGACGAAGATGCTGCCTTAACGCCTCAAATGGCGTTGGTACTAGAAACACACACACACATATATATATAGACCTATGCGTTTGTACAGATATAGTACTATAGCTTCTGATTATAACTGTATCTTCCTCAAAGTTTGTTTCTAGGATTAACTTTCGAAGTATTGTAACTGTTTGCTGCCAAAATATTGACCATTGAAGCTTTCTTTGTCGGTGGGAGTCTCCAATTTGAGTTTATTGTCCTATATGTAGTGCTGTGCCATTTATTCTAAGGCCACTAAGGAATAGTTTCAAGGATGGCAATAAAATACTCATGGAGGGCCTCAAACTGATCACAGTGTTGACAGTTTGAAGTGAATTGTTTAGTTTCTGATTAGATCGAAAGAGCTGTAAAGTTCTATATTTTACTATCCGGAGTAACAGAAATACCATAAAGAGTACTTTCCATAACCTCCAATTCTTTACTGTAGAAGTTGACGTTTTTGGCAAAGATTTGTGGAGCATGAGCCATTTCAAGGACCTAGAGTCCAAAGTAATGTCAAGAAAAGGTGTAGATTTTTTCAAGTTCCTGGCACAAGAGGTACATTTTACTTAATTACTACATGGTATTATAAAATAACTTGATTCATCAAGTATTTAGGGGTTTGACCATCTAGCAGATGATTGTTCCAACAAAAAGCAGGGAGGACATGTCATCTCCATACTGAAGTTAGTTGGGGAAACTTATTAAGAAGACAATGCATGTTTTCTGGGAGTTTCTTCTTACTAATAAAGCCTGAAGCCAATTTAGCCTTATATGGTGCTCATGGAACTCAAATGGACACTGCAGAATTATAGCTTTTTATGGATGTCAGATCAAATCTTCAAAAGGTTTATCGTCTGCATTCACAGATGCCAACATATATTCAGTACTTCATGCAAGTAGCGTTTCACATACCGATTGCGGTTATAGCTGTTATCATGCCTTTTATTTATGTTGTTCAATTAGAGATGTCAACCCTGAAAGTTTACTCCATTAATGCAGCTGATGTAGTCGATGTTGAAGTGAGGGATTTGCATACTGAGAGGCAAACAAAATGGTTACGACCCATATTGATTTCCCACGCATGGTTGCTGATCAAGAGACAGAAACTTCTGATGGTGAAGAGTTCATGACACTTCTCATTGGTGGTAAGGCTTTACACTGCATAATTTCACCAACTTATTTCTTCAAAACCACAAGTTTAGGACTTACTGATTGCAGGGCTGTTCTCTGTTCTTGGTGTACGTGACAAAGCTTTTATTCGCAGAGTCTATATGGTGAACAGTTGCTTTACATAATATGCCGATGATGTTTCAATCCAACTATGAGGTGGAAAAAAATAAATTGCTTTACATAAAACTCCCAATTGTTCATTAAATGTCCTCTAACCGCTGCTTTAGTCACTGTTCTTTGGGTTCAATATTTATTTTATTGTTGTTTTTGTGTTTGGAGTTGATATTAATTGGTTCCATTAAGATGCACGCTATGAGAGTGCGCTCTTATGTTCGTTGATCACTCATTTGACGACTTTTGATTACTATGGTTTACAGTAATATTAATACATTTTAAATATAATATCATTTAAGATATTGTCCTAAAAATTTAACACAAATATTGTTCAATTAAGTTTTCTTACACACTATTTGAGAAATGAGTACGTGAGGATTTTGAGGATCGAACTACAATTGAAAAGAAAACTTGATCAACGAGTGGGAACACTGACCTGTAGGAGTGGGCATAGTTTGGGCAAACTCGCACTCCAAACCGAAATTTGAATTGTTTGGATTTTTAGATTATGGATTGATTTCGGATTTAATTTTTAAGATTTTTAAATTTTGGATTGGATATTGGATTTGGTACTACATATTTTTGGATATTCGAAAATCCAAGATTTTTATATTTGGTTTATTATTCATATGACAATAGTAATAAGTCCAATATCCTAATCATTGAACATAATCTCATATATTCAATACTAATTACTAAGTTACTATCAGATTTTACTGTTGCTACTTCTTATCGGCCTTGCTAATGTCTTTGTTGTATTTCCTTGATGATGATTTTATTACTTGAATATTTTATTCGGATGATTGCGATGAAAATGAGGAACTTTTTAGGCAATTTAATATGAATACTTCATTTGGATATTCCTTATCGTAGAAAAAAGAAACATCTCAATTAAGAAACTTAAAACCAAAAATCCAAAATCTCCAAACCGATTAATCTGAATCCAAACTTAAAAAATTCGATCCAATCCGAATTTATTTGGATTGGATTTGAATTGTCATTTTTTCAAGGGCAAAGGTCCAAATATACCCCCATATTATACGAAATTGAGCACATTTGCCATTCGTTAATAGTTTAGCTCAAATATGCTCTTACCGTCACATAGTTGGTCCATATATGCCCTTAGAGTTACGCAGTTGGCCCATATATGCCCTTTTCGAAATGGAATTCACCCAAACTAATTAGCTCTTTCGTTAATTGTATTAAAGTGTATTACAAACAATATTTTCTTTTTATTAGTACTTTTTTTCTTTACCTTTCTCTTTTCTTTCATCTTTTTTCTTTTCTTCTCTTTTTTTTTCCTTTTTCTTTCTCCCTTATTCGATTTCCTCCATTACTGATGTCTTCTCTTTTTTCATCACCAATTTCACTTAACAAATCTCATAAATTTCAATTACTAAGAAAATTCTCCCACAAGAATATTTTTATATATCATATGTTTTTTAATTTTTTAATTATTACTGAACATATATTTAGTTCTAAAAAATTTAACAAAGTAAGATTGAAATAATATTTATGTAACAAAAAATTCGAAAATCCAACAAAACCGTACAATCCAAACCGATATAATTGGTTTGGTTTGATTTTGACAAAAAATCGAACAAAACCGTTCCATGTACACCCTAATTTACATATATAGTTAATAAAAAAAAATAGAAAATGTCCAGCTGAAAAAAGACTAACAACTCAAATTTATAACACTACAACTTGAACTCTAGGTTTTTAATCATTAAATTATCTTTCTAGAAATAATTTAAATATTTTGGTCTTTTGAGTATTGTTAAAGGTTGAGATGTTTTTATTATTTTAAATTTTAAACCATAATTTTTGAAATAATTTAATTTCATTTATTTAGAGGACTAGTGAAATTGGAACTTGATTACCTTATGGGAGAATTTTCTTAGTAATTGGAATTTATGAGTTTTGTCAAGTGAAATTGGTGATGAAAATGGAGAAGACATCAGTAATGGAGGAAATAGGATAAGGAAGAAAGAAAAAGGAAAAAAAAAAGAGAAGAAAAGAAAAAAGATGAAAGAAAAGAGAAAGGTAAAGAAAAAAGTACTAATAAAAAGAAAATAGTATTTGTAATACACATTAATACAATTGAAGAAAGAGCTAATTAGTTTGGGTGAATTTCATTTCGAAAAGGGCATATATGGGCCAACTGTGTAACTCTAAGGGCATATATGGACCAACTATGTGACGGTAAGGGTATATTTGAGCTAAACTATTAACGAAGGGCAAATGTGCTCAATTTCGTATAGTATGAGGGCATATTTGGACCTTTGTCCTTTTTTCAATTCGAAAACCGAAAATACAAACCAAAATTTTCTTATTCAATCCGAATTGTCCGAACGTCCACCCTACTGACTGGAAGTTGTATAAAAGAAAGCAGAGAAATGTACGCAATTTAAAAGAATTAATACAATTTTGTCATTATGTGATTTACTAAAAAATCAATTATCAATGAAAGAGTAATGCCAACGGTTAGTATAATCTGACGGGCTGCATTTAAGCAGTCTTGAGAGTTTGCTCATACATTCAGGTTCTCAAAAACGTTTCTTTAGTTTTTATCAGAACAGTGGAAAGCTGCCAATGCCATAGAAGCAGGGGCGGATCCAACATTTGGGTACCGGGTTCATTTGAACCCAATACTTTTGACGCGGAACATAATTTTATATGTTGTATACGGTCAAAACCGATTAGTTTTTCGTACGAACTGGTCGAAATAGTAATACTTTGGATCGAAGAGCGTCTTCATAATATCAGGTTGAGGACCGAAGTCAGGTCATCAAACTTCGAGCCCTAGGACCGATCAATGTCGAGTTCGTTATCATTATCGAGCTCGATTCCAAATCGAACTATGATGCGAAGTGGAGTTATCGAGCTTATAAAGCAGAGACCGACCAACACTGACCCTGAATCAATACAAGGCTACGAGTCAGAATCGAGCTCGAGTCAAGATTGAGAGCTCGACTCGATATCAAGCTCGAGAAATATCGAGTTCATCGACAAGAGTCGTTGCAACCGCACTAGAGGAGAGAATCATGACAGAAATTATGGAAAAGCTAATTTATCATAGGTTTCCCACTATGTATATTTTTTATTATATCTAAAGTAGGATCTCTCCACTATAAAAGGGATGGTTATTATTTCTATAAGGGACAAAGTTCACATACATTGTAACAGAGGTATCATACACTCCTATATTGAAGAGTTATCCTTTTTTAGCTGCATAGATTGATTCATCTTGCTTAATCCATAAATCATCTTCTTTCCAACTTTGCTTATTTTTCATTTTCTACAGTCAACACTCGATATCTCTATTCATTCTTAAGATTTGTATCAAGTTATTCCACATACCCGTAGAACTACGTACAAATTTAACTCTATCCATTTTTCGGGTAAACGGTTTGGCACCCACCGTGGGGCTAAGGATAATAGTGATTATGTGATACAAATCTGCAAAAATATACCATTTTACGCTTATTTTCAGAAGTGCCTTTGATTTTGGATTAGCAACGACGAGCTCTCTAAATTAAATGGCCTTACCTAACGATAATGAAGCTGGCCTTCAAGGTGAGAACAATAACTTGATGCCCAGGGTCGGAATGCCGCTCGTCGACGTAGTTGGAGCTCGAGTCAAAGTGCCATTAGACGTTAATTCGCATGTGGCCATTGAGGCGGACCTACATTCTGAACCTGAAAATAGCATTCATGGTGGCACTCGATCTGCAACTCGAGAAACCCATAACGTCGAGGAAAACGGAATCAGCTTGCGTATAATTTTCGAAATATTGCAAGCTCAACAGGTAGCAATAGCTCAGTTGCAGAGTCAAACCCAGGTACCGAGCAAGCCGGAGCCCAGTCCGCCCCGAGAAGTCATCCACATAACGGAATCGGCTATAGTAAAGTCAAATGAGCAAGAATCAGGGATTAATCCCGAAATTGCTAAGATGTTCAAAGAACTGACCAAATGAATAGAATCAGGAGAAAGGAGGATCGAGGCAAACGACAAAAAGGTGGAGACATATAACTCCAAGGTTGATCATATCCCAGGGCACCACCGATATTGAAGAGCTTAGATTCCAAAAAATTTGTACAAAAGCCTTTCCCCCCAAGCGCGGTTCCTAAACCGGTCCCAAAGAAATTTCGCATGCCCGAGATTCCTAAATATAACAGAACTACTGACCCCAACGAACATGTCACCTCTTACACATGTGCCATCAAAGGGAACGAGCTAGAGGACGATGAAATCGAATCTGTATTACTGAAGAAATTCGGTGAAATTCTGTCAAAGGGAGCAATGATATGGTATCATAATTTACCATCTAATTCTATCGATTCTTTTGTTATGCTCGCAGATTCCTTCGTAAAAGCACATGTTGGGGCCATAAAGGTCGAGATCAGGGAGTCAGACCTGTTCAAGGTAAGACAAAAGGATAACGAGATGCTAAGGGAGTTTGTATCTTGTTTTCAAATGGAACGAATGGATCTGCCACCAGTCACAGACGATTGGGCTGTTCAGGCTTTCACTCAAGGTTTGAACGAACGAAGTTCGACGGCTTCACGGTGGTTGAAACATAACCTGATCGAGTACCCAGCTATTACTTGGGCCGACGTGCACAATCAGTACCAGTCGAAAATTAGACTCGAAGACGATCAGTTGGGTTCTAAACCCGCTGCTAGAAGGGACACCAATCGAGAATGAGGTCCGATCAGGGACCAGTACCGACCATATAGTGGAAACCACAAGATCAATGAATCGGGACGTAACCCCGGACAGGGCAATAAAAGAAGTGATCGAGATCAAGGGTCTCGGGGGCTGATGAGCAGAAATGGGTTCGACAGGCCTACCGAACCTAAGGAAGTACCATGGTTATCGGAGTATAACTTCAGCATTGATGCATCCGCCATCGTGTCAGCTATCGGACGCATCAAAGACACTAAATGGCCTCGAACCATGCAGACCGATCCTGCCTAGAGGAATCCCAATCAAATATGCGAATATCATGGCACCCATGGCCACAGAACGGAAGATTTCAGGCAACTAAGAGAGGAGGTAGCCCGGTTATTCAATAAAGGGCACCTTCGAGAATTTTTAAGCGACAGGACCAAAAACCATTTCAAAAATAGGGATTTCGGTAAACAAAACGAACAGGAAGAACCACAACACGTCATCCACATGATCATCGGTGGCATCGATACCCCTCAAGGGCCGGTGCTTAAACGCACTAAGACATCGGTTAT